CGGTCTGGAGTCTTAGTTCTCTTGCTCTAACCGTCTTTCCACCCCTTCTTTGATGATGTTCCTTGAACCTTAACGTCCAGGGGGTTTTCACTGTAGATGTACACGTTTGGACTGTGTATCCCATGGTTACTTATTCTCTACATTTTGGTCAGTCGTGGATCTCTGTAGTAGAGAAGAAGCTTGTTCGATGAGGGGTGAGAAGTGTACTCCTCTGTGGGTACAAGTATCTAGAATATAGTTATAAAATATATTGGCTTAGGAAAATGGTGGCCTGCCATTTTCTAACCTTAATTCTGTCATATAGTCCATAAGGAAGACTGCAAAGGGCTCTCTGGTGAGTGCTTGGGCCTGGACAACAAAGAAAGGCGTACTAAGTAGGAATGGAAGCCCCAGTGGCAGATGTACTTGGGAGTGGACCCTGCAGGGTGTTCTTTCCCCATTCAGGGTCTTCTCACACACACACACACACACACACACACACACACACACACTGCAGAGAAGCCACTGTACAGAAAGGTCATCCAAGGAGCAGACGGCACTGAACCAAGCCCACAGGCCTGACAACCTGGATACCTGCTGTCTCATCAAGTTCTGAAGATGCCGATTCAATAGCTTTAGAAAGAGTTTGGAAAACATTGTGTCCATAAAACCAAACAACAAAAGGAAGACCTGAAAAGCAAGAACAAGGAGGAGAAGAAAATGATCAGGGGAAACTAAAAGCATGTCTTGTCAGGTCCAAAAGGAACTAGGGACCCATGGCTAACTGTGACGCCTGTTAGCATACCAAAGTGACCGCTGGCATCCAGTCTCTCAGCATCCCAAGTACCTGTTACAGAGTTCATGCTGCCATCCTGGATCTTCTTACCCTGTCTGTCCCCTGTAAGGGCTACGAGATTAGTTCTAGCCCTTACAGCCCCGTTTAGCTCACGGGCTTCCTTTTCCCAGCTACTCATTCCTATATAACCCTGCCATTTTGGCCATGTGCTCTCTTAGTCCCCCACACCCCTGCCTCTCTCTTGGTCCTCTCTTTCTCTTCCTCTCTCACTCTCTCCCCACTCCTCTTATGCCCTTAGCCTACTATTTTATCTCTCTGCTCTAGACTCTTCAGATGCCCCTGGCTGTACTTCTCTCAGATCTACAATAAACCCCACCCCACTTAGTCCTCCCTTGTGAGGCCACGTCCTCACTTTATACATCTGTTGCTAAAACTCCCCTCACACCTCAGGTGCAGGGGCATCTGGAAGAGTCCAGAGCAGAGAGAGAAAGAAACAGGCTGGACATCTCCAAGGAACAGACAGAATTGTCAGCTAGATTGAAAATAAAAGATATACCCAAAAATATGTTTATTGTTTGCTACATGACATTGAGAACTTATACCCAAATGTGGATCAATAAGATGAAAAAAAAAATGGAAGACACGGTGGCTACTTGATTGACAGCTTGAAGCTGAAAACATCCTTAAGATGAAGATGTGTTTCATGCATCTCACCTACTGCACTGGTCAGCTTCCTGTTGTTGTGGTCAAGAGTGTGATGAGGGTAAAGCAGAAAGGGAGAGTTTGGACTCAGGTTCAGAGCTTTCATTTGCTCGCCCTTCTTATTCTGGACCTGCGGGAGTGTCGTTTACCCGGTGGTAGCACAGGGCAGAAAAGACTTTATCTCATGCTGTGCAGAAAACAAAAAGAAAGGGTGTGCTTCAAAAGCCAGCATCCAATGGCCTGAAGAGCTGCACTTCCTCATAGTGCTACAGACTGACAACCAAGCTTTCAACACAGGGGCCTTGGAGGGACATTCAAGACCACATTGTCCAAGCACAATGGTTTATCCACAACAAACTTGAGGACTGTCTTTACGCCCATCATCGTTAGCTGACTGGCACCTGGAACTCACCACTGCCTCCTACTGTCTCAAATGAGTCATAGACAGCCCAAGAAAAGATCAAAATTTAAAGTTTTTGACATTTTTCCCCCTAAGGGCAGGTGGATACCGTATCACTTAAAGTCAGAAACACTGTAACTTCATAAGCAAGGAAGTAGCTGTAAGGGAGAAGTTGAGCCATCTAGACCAAGTGGCCTACAATAGATTTGAATAACCATGGGGGAAGAGATAAGATAGCTTTAGAGAATGGCAGGGAAAAAAATGTAGTTTTGGCCTGAAGAAAGCTACATACATGTCTCTTGAGTGAACTCGCCCTCTATCTACTGAACATGATGGGTTTTGAAAGCTACACACATGTCATTCCATCCTGATTGTTTTGGTGTAGTTGTGTTGCTGTGATAAAACACTGAAGAAAAGCAACTTGTGGGGAGGAACAATTTTATTTTGGCTTGCAGGTTAAAGTCCATCATGTTGGGAAACCAAGATGGGAGCTTAAAGCTGAAAACATGGAGGAACTCTGGTTACTAATACAACCAAGGCTCAGTTGCCTAGGGATTATACCACCCACGGTGGGCTGTCCCTCCTCTCCAAATGGGTTAACAATTAAGAAAATCCTTCACAGATTTGCCCATATGCCAATCTGATGGGGTGGAGGGCAATCCCTTATATAAGTTCTCTCCTTCCTGGTGTGTCAGGCTGACAACTGAAGCTGACTTCAGTTAGCTTGCGAAATTTCAGATCAGTGTAAGCAGAAAATAATGTTAGCTACAAAGGAACGAGAAGCAAACTAATCAGCAGAGGGCTGAGATGGAGGAAGAAAGGCCTTCAGCACCCAGAGGGAAAATGAGTCCAAATCTGGAATTCACACAGTGCCGCGTGAAAGCCTAACAAAGTCATTCTCCAGGATGGACAGACTCAGGTCTGTTTGTGAGCAGAGCTGCATGGCGTGAGAATGGCCTCTCCAGGTGGTATTTCAGCACACTGCAACACGAACTGATAAAGGCAGAAGCTGAGTTTAGAGGACGGGAGTGTTCAGAAAGGAAGAAAAAGCTGGAACCTTGCTTTCGGAATTCTGGTAATGTAGGGTCATGTAGTCAAATGCACCATTTGGTGTTCTCGGGCATGCCATTTACACAATGCGAATGCTGTAAGTAGAGGCGATTGGTCCTACGTGGGAGCAATCTGTAGGTAAACTGGGACAGATTCAATAGTTTTGTAGATCAGGATGAAATAAGTTTCAACATTGTAAACATGTTTTTTTTTTTTTTACTGACACAATTGAGAATGTAAGCAGGAGAGAGTACGTCACCATCTTACTGTGCACAGCTGACTTAAGTCTAGAACCACCGCTTTTAGGAACGGACAGCAGAAACTACTGAGTAGCTCCCGTCTGGAAGTGAGACGGGGCACATGTGGTGGGCAAGGCGACCCACCTTGCTCAGTTTCAGTTTGTCTTTCTCTTGTCAAGCATCTACATTTCTTCTTTCTGTGCCTTGTGTGTCTTCTCTTGACTTTATCATATGCACTTACTCCGCTTGTATTAGTAAAGGATCCAGTTTCATCCTGACACGCATTTCCTCTGAAACTCTGGGACCTGCTGTTTTCCCTTAATTCGGAAGCTGTCTTTGTCAAGTTTCTCTTTCTGTCCTGTCTCTCTGCTCTTGCCATCCTGTCGTATGAGAACACCTGCTAGCCCCTGTGCCAATCTCGTGACTCCTCCTTCACAGTTTTCTTTCTTTACCTCCTTGTGTTGCAATTCGAGTGATTTCCCCCGCTCTCTCCTACTCTCTTAACTCTTCCTTTAGCTGACTTTTCCTATTTCAATGGCTGCATTTTTTTTAAATTTTAGAATTGTTTTTGCATAAACTAAACTTTCATTGTTTTCCAATGTACTGAAATAACTGTTATTTTCTCATTTGTATTTTTTATTATTATATCACTTTAGAAGTCTATTTTATATTGCTCCATGACTTGGGAATCTTGTCCTTTCTGGTACCTTACTGATAGTCATGTTAGTGAGTTTCCACCTGTGTTTTTAACTTCCTAATTTGGGATCCTAAGTTCAAGTGTGTCAGCCGCCTTCCACAGATACACTTTTGGGATTGGTGGGGGCATTCTCATGTGTAGGTTTCTTGTTTCTTGGGGTTTGTGACTTTTTGAGTTCTGGAGCAATTTCCATGGTTGTGTCTCTGCTCAGCATGTGCTTAGTGGGTGGGTAACTCACGTATTAGAATCACTCCTTCGAGGACAGTCGTGTTTCTGTTACTAACAGGGCTCAGCAGCAACTGAATGCGTCTAGCTGTAAGCTTTCCAGAAAATTTCTATCAGTAGCATAGGAAGATTTAAGGTGTTTTTAGAAAAGGCAAATCCAGCTGGTCCTCCCATCACTTTCCAGTTGAGAACAAAGTTATGCTTAGACCCAGTGACTTAAAGACGGAGCACAGTATGAGAGACGAATCTCTTTGTGGTTGATATACGCTCGAGTTTGAAGTAGATGATGTCTAACGCCAATTTGATGGTAAACCCATATGTTTATTTCGTTAGTAGTTCTGGCTATGGCTGGGATTCTGGGTGCCTAGAACGTGGCTTTTCCAAGCTCATCCTGCCCAGGGCTGCACATTACCAAGCACTTCGGTGGCTTGAATTTTTTCATGCTCAGTTAGATTAAGGCGACAGTGTTCTTTCTAGGTACAGCTCATAGAGATACTTGGCAGACCTTCCTTTGTCAATAATTTACTTTTGTCCTCTCCCCTGTTTTAAAAAAGCATGCAATCTGCTTATGAACACCTAAATCTTCACGATAACCGCCTGTCACATCTTGAGATTGCTTTTAATTTATTCCCATGGTGAGCTGGAAGATAACTGCCATGTTCTTTTCTCTCCTTCCTTCCTTCCTTGTTCCCTCCCTCCCTTCTTTACTCCTTTCATTCTTTGTTTCTTTTCTTCTTTTTCTTTCTGTATTAGGTGAGGGGAATTTTCAGGGCATTTTTTTTTTTTTGTGAGGTTTCCAAGAACTTCATTCCTTTCTGTGTTTTACAGCAAGTGTCCACAAAGTAGGAGATTCAGATTCATCGATCCAATTCAAAGCAAATTATAATGGTGTGTTTTGTGCTCTGTTTTCAGAACAGAGCGTTCTGAACGTCCACACGAAGTGGAAGAGCCTTAACCTGAAGGTGCTGTGTATTATTTACACTGAAGAAGCTCCTGGGTGGACAGGAAAGCGCTGACAGGTCAAATGGACCCCATGGAACTGAGAAATGTCAACATTGAGCCAGACGACGAGAGCAGCAGTGGAGAAAGTGTTCAAGACAGCTACACGAGGATGGGGAACTCTGAAAAGGCAGCCATGAGCAGGTACGGGATGAAAGATGGCCAGGCTCTGTGGAAAACAAGACGGGCCGTGGGCTTGGAAAACCGGGGTCATGGTGGGACGGCTGCATTGATTTTGGATCGATGTGAGCTAACAGTGTTGATGTTAACACGTCAACTCTGGTCCTTGGTGTGACTGATTGCAAAGCAAAGTTGCATTGTCCTTGTCTCCTTTGCTAACCCACATCTCACTGACATTACTGTGTTGTTTATTTATCTTTCGGGAGAACCTTCCCTCAGATCCTCTTTCCTTTGACTTTACTTTCAATGTTGTGTGTCTCCAGAGAGTTTTGGGGGCGGGGGGTGAGGGTGGGGTGGGGTTGGCCTTTCTTTCTTTCTTTCTTTCTTTCTTTCTTTCTTTCTTTCTGACTTTTTTGTTTGTTTAGTTTGTTCTTTTCTAATAAGCATATCCTGAGTAATATCATTCACAAACTATCATGGGATCACCCATGAAATATATGGCATTTCCTCAGCCTGCTGTCGAGCCTTCCACCCTGGCTTCCTGTCGTTTTATTTGTCCACCAACTGCACCAACCTTTAAAGCTCACTAGCTCACTTCTAACAAGGAGGTCGTCTCCTTCCCACTGTGGGGAGGCTGTCCAGAGGGGGCAAGGCCTTCCTACTGATGGCCGGGTGCAGTGACTTTAGGCATTGGTGGACTAGGAAGGGGTCAATCAGAACAGTTTCTAAACTTAGTGGCTCCTAAATGTGGTAAAACACAGGCCATTGGTATCTGCAGAGTGCTTGCCCAGCTTAGAGGGAGATTTATCTTCATTTGAACTTTCGTGCAAAGTGTAGACTCGTAAACTAGCACCTGCTTTTTCAAGGAATAAGTAACTGTTGGAGGTATAAGGTGATATTCAGCAATTCTGTGTTCTTTTTCTTTTACATCATTGCTCTTGGTATGCAAGATAAAAGGCTCTTAGATTCTGCGGGGAACACACACAGGTGTGAGAGCTGTGGGGGGGGTGAACTGGAGGGGGTCGAACTCAAGAACAGCCCTAGAGTCCACAGTGGATTCTGCTGTTCAGCTTCACGCAGCATCATCTTAGTACCCACAGTGACGTACTTTCTGAGATGCCATTTTTTGTGAATTACCATTCACTTTTAATGGATGGGCTTTTTTCTCTTTGGTATAGAATGAATCTGTAGTTGTAAAAAGAAAATTCAACATACTGTAGCCTTTGCTTGAGGTCATTTTCCTTGTCTTCAATAGATGATGGTCTGATGTTAAAATATTAACCTGCTAAGGGCGTTTCTCACATACTTTCCACAATGTCAGTTATGTGCCCACATCTCCTCTCACACCAAAAAGAACATGCAAGCGCCTCAGAAATGAGAAATATGCTTCCTTTCAAATTCTAAGTTCTAGAAATCACACATGCAATGGAGATTTTAATTTGCTGAGGAAAATAAATCAGGATGGTGGGCACCCTTCAGTTTGGACTGTACGGAAGAAACACTCATTTCTATAGTCCTTTGTCCCCTTTTGCCCTATCATCCCAAGCTTCAAGTGTGAGCTGTAACAGCTCCCACATAACCAGGGCATTAAACACAGACTGATGGCGGGAGGATTGTGGACACAGAAGAAAACAGAAAGTGTTTTTTCATGTGCACTCAACACTGTTACTCTGGGGTTCCTGGAAACATACTGAAAGCTTTGTGAGTGTGTGTGTTGTGTTTCAGCTGTACCTTGTATTGACACTATGTGGGTGTGTTTTGTGGTCTAGCTGTACCTTGTATTGACACTGTATGAGTGTGTTGTGGTCTAGCTGCACCTTGTATTGACTGTATGAGTGTGTTGTGGTCTAGCTGCACCTTGTATTGACTGTATGAGTGTGTGTTGTGGTCTAGCTGTACCTTGCATTGACACTGTATGAGTGTGTTGTGGTCTAGCTGTACCTTGCATTGGCACTATGTGAGTGTGTTCTGTGGTCTAGCTGACCGTCTGTTGTGTTCTGCTGTCCAGAGTCACCATACAGTGCCTCTTCTCCCAGCTCTCCTTGCTGTGCCTCCTTCCTACCACAGCATCGTCAGGATTAGCTCCTATTAGGAAAGGCAATTTGTAAGGATCTCGTGGAGCGATTCATTTCCATTTTATTTCTCGGGGCTAGCTTCCAACTCTTTGATTTTACTCTGGAATGTGTGAAATGCCTTAAAAACCACAAAGCACCAGCTAGGAAATCCTTTCCAGAAGCAGGCAGCGTTTAAGGCGTAATGGCCCAGCAAAGGCTTGCGTTATGCTTTTACAGTTAAACTGTAATGGTGGCATCCGGCCTTGCCGGTCAGGCCCCGTGGCTCCTGACACTTGCCTGCTGGAGCTGACCAGCACAGGAAGGGAACGGCATCAGTGACTGTGAAGCCTCCAGCCTGTACCCAGGCAGCTCATAAGCGCAAAGAACTTTTTTTTATTATTTTATTATATTTTAGTATTTATTTGTTTAGTTAGTTTTTCAAGGCTAGATTTTTCTGTGTAGCTCTAGCTGTCTTAAAACTCAATCTGCAGACCAAGTTGACCTGGAGCTCGGAGATCCACCTACCTCTGCCTCCCAAGTGCTGGGATTAAAGGCGTGTGCCACCATACTAGGTGGTTCATGCCTTTTGTTTGTTGTTTGTTTGAGATAGGGTTTCTCTGTGTGTACTCTTGGCCATCCTGGAACTTACTCTGTAGAATAAGGTGACCTCAAAGTCACAGAGATCCTCCTGCATCTGCCTCCTGAGTCCTGGCATTAAAGGCGTGTGCCACCACCACCCAGCAGTTCATGCCTCTTTAAAGTCTACTTTCTCGGTTTTATCTATTATCTACTAATAATCAAAATACATTTTCAGAGTAATGGTGTATATGCAAGCTTTATTTGTTAAAACATAAACAAAATAGCACTACATTCTTCTTTTTTGGTCTAAAATAAAGAAGACTATAACTAATATAAGAAAAACAATATACAATAAGTACAATAACTATATACAGTATAGGCAATAAATACACAACAATGTCTAGTCCATTTGCATTTGACAAATTCAGAGAAAATACTCCATTATCTATCCTATCTTGGTGATTCCAAAGTCTTGTACATAATTCCCTTTCTATTCTAACTTGAGTGCACATACTCACGGAACCAAACACAACTCAGAGTTACTATGTAACTATTTTCCAATAAGTCATGCAGGCATAGGCAGATGCAACTGAAAAGCAGGAAATGGCTTTGGAATCCTGCTGGGACTGTGTGATGCCAGAAAGGCCACAGGCAGAGTCTGGCAGATGGACACGCTCCTTCCTGTTCCTCACTGCTGCACCTTGCCTGAGTAGGAACAGGCAAGCTCCTCCCACCGTGATATTGGGGCATCAGATGAGAGGAGTACCTGAGCATATTTGTTACGTCTGTAAAGTTAGAGTAGAGTGTGGCTACCTGCAGCCCTGGTCTTACAGAGGGCTTGTCCCTAGCACCACAGGAAAATCAACAAACAACAATAAGCACCATCATCTTATCACAGCGTGGCGGTTGTTTTAAAAAAAAAAAAACCTCAGGGCTGTGGCTCTGCACCCTCTCCTTGGAAGGGTTCACAAGAGGGAACGAAACTCAGCCCGGTTAATCTCTTTCTAGCATAGTCAGTGTGTGTGTGGTGGGGGGGGGGGGGAGACAATATATGCAGTTTCCAATTGAACATATTTCCTTCCTTATAACACTCTGCGTCCCCAAAACTGTTCATCGTGAGTTCAGTGCTTGCTCTAGGCAGAACACTGGTGTGAAGGAAGAGAAGAATGCTTTGGACATCATGTTCCTCGACGCAGTTCAGTAGATTGCCCTGCCCTCAAACATACGTCAGAGCATTTACTCAGATGCTCTCCCTTTTCTCTGTTTCTTCGGCTTACCTTTCCCCTGCTCGTGCAGCCAATTTGCTAACGAAGATGCCGAAAGTCAGAGGTTCCTAACAAATGGATTTTTGGGGAAGAAGAAGCTGGCCGATTACACGGATGAACACGTAAGTGACGCTCTGCTCTCAGGAGGTAAACAGGCAGAGAGGTGTGTGATCTACCGCCGTCTCGGTGGGAAAACAGTGTGATTGAAATTTTCCAAGCCTTCATCAGCACATTCTGTGTTTATTCAGGCCCTTACTGGAATAAAGGCTTGTTTTTCCCGTTTGCCATATGGCTGCATGAATCATTTATGAAATTTATTTGTTTTTTCAAGAAATCATTCTAACCCAAATATAATCTGCAGCCATACGTTGTTTTCCTTCTTTTTATTGCTCCTCTGTATTTCTGATTTTTCCTGCAACCTATGATGAAGCCGAGACTTGCATTACATTCAAAATTAAATGTTCTATTTTGACGCTCTGAGTAATGAATGGCTTTTACTCGCTATGACTGTGTCTTACTCTTCTATTTGGGGATGCAGTCTCTTCCAGGAGATATAATGTGAGCAGAGTAGCCAAAGGAGAGACTGGTCCTTTAGCAAACGTTTGCTCATCCTGCACTTCTTTTCTTCAAGCACCCTGGAACCACTTCCTTCGGAATGTCCTCATTCAACCTGAGTAATGCCATCATGGGCAGTGGGATCTTGGGCTTGTCCTACGCCATGGCCAACACGGGGATTGTCCTCTTTGTGTAAGTGAGCATCTATGTCTGTGTAGTGCCAAGCCCATGTCATCTAAGAGCCCTGCATGCCCCAGTCCTATTCCCTGTGCCTCTGGGTACCAGACACCAACATGCTGGCCTTTGCATATGGCCTCCGAGCCTTCTTTCCTGTCTTCTTCATTTAATTCATTCCTTATATCTGTGTTCAGCCTAACCTAATGCAGCCTTCCATCACCTCTGTGACAGGGGCCAGGGTATCGTACCTGTGCCTTTACTGTAACACCCTGCTGTGCTTGTCTGATTTCCTTAGTGTCCAGCTCCCTTGCTAGATGACAAGACCCAGAGAACTGGCTCCATGTCTCACCACACACCCTTTCCTAAACCCTATCACAGTGCCTGGCAAGAAGGATATTTGTGGATGACTGAAGCCTATTTCTAAACTGCTACGCTTTCGCCACGCTTGGTCCCAGGCTGCATGGAAGCAGCAGGGTAGGGGCCTCGCCTGTGATGGACAACCACAGACGTCCGCACGGTCACACATAGTTTGGTATTTTCCAAGACACGCTTCTCGGTGTCTTCACAAGCATGAAGTGGCACATTGGGCGGCATCTGACTGTGGAGCCCGCACAATGCTGGAGGGCTAACTGTCTAAGAATGCGGCACTTACACTTGAAATACATGCTATTTGTGTTCTGCCGCCGCATATGATTAGCTAATCACGCGGCTATGTGAGGACTGAGCATCAGAACTATAAATATTTATCTTGTGTCAAATGAACTATTTCATGTAGTACAGTCTTTAGCTGAATGGGATTTTATACCAACTTCAGTAATCTGCTTGAAATCAATTAGCTGTTTACCATCTGAAGAGTAGGCTCATAATCTATTTGCATATCTATCTATATGCTTTCGTAATGAACGTAACCTTTGAGACAAGTCTCATTAATCATTCATGCTATTACACATCATTAAGAAATTATCACATCATGGGTGAGCAGAAACAGAAAAAGCTTTCCCCAACCATGGAGCCACAGATCACCTTCTGGAGAACATTCCATTCCACATTAAAAACAAAGGCTTCCTCTCATCTTGCAGGCTAACTTGACTGGAGCCATGACATCTCTGAAACACCATGGGATGTGATTTGTGTGTCTAAGAGACACTCAGCTGTCCCTCTTGGTTTGCGGCAAGTGACATAGCATTCCACTGATTTGGCTTCTAGAATTTGTCCCCCAGCAAGCCCATGTTTAAGATATAGGAATGCTCATTGTTTTTTTAGGGAACAAAGCTACATAATCTGAAGTATGCAATTCTTTAAAAAACAGGTGCATTCACACTACACAGATGAGGAGCTCTAAGTGTGTAATCGTGGTCTGAATGCACGCATGCAACAGTGGTCTCCCTGGGGTTATCAAATAGACCGTGGAAAGATGTGTGTTCTCAAGTAAATAAAGTAAAAGAATGCCTTTTAAAATGCCAGATGTCAGAACTGTCCATTTATTATCCAGATGATGTATCCACATTCTTTTTTCTTCTTTTCTTTAGTTTGTTTGAGACAAGGTGTCGTTATGTGGCCCAGGATGACCTTGTACTAATAATCCTCCTGCCTCAGCTTCCCTAGTGTTGGGGTTACAGGTGTGTGCCTCCATGCCTGGCTCTAGCCACACTCTTCTTTTTATGCCCTAATTCCCGGTTTTATGGAAACACTGATCAGTACTAAAGGACGGGAGCCATTCCTACACGCGGTCATGTGGGGGGTCCTGATGTCAATGTGAGTCTCTTTGAAAAAAAGCAAGGAAGCCGGGCGGTGGGGACGCACACCTTTAATCCCAGCACTTGGGAGGCAGAGGCCGGCGGATCTCTGTGAGTTCAAGGCTAGCCTAGTCTACAGGAGCCAGTTCCAGGATAGTCTCCAAAGCAACAGAGAAACCCTATCTCGAAAAAAAGGGGGGGTGGGGGAGAAAGAAAGAAAATAAGCAAGGATTGGTCCAGCTGTCAGCACTCACCGTCCTCCGCTTTTTTTTTTTTTTATTGTACCTGACTCTCCAGTTAGCAAAGTATCTTTCTTTCTTATGTAGATAAAAAAAATTAAAATGTCTAAGCCTCGGTTCAGTCAGGTTCTCAGGCAGCCTTTTTCTGCTACCTGTTGATGCAAATATGGCATGCACACACCTGGACACTGGGTAAGTAGATGGGATGCGTTAGTTTCATGGCCATTAGCATCTCGGCTGTGAGATATGTTACCCTACTAAGTAAGAAGCTACAGATAGTAGCTGAAGCATGTACAATGTGGAAAGTCCTCATTGGGTGGTGTTCCAGAATTTCCTAGAATCCTCCAAATCCATATACTTTTGCAGAGCCGACAATTGAAGAAGCAGAATTATTACTGCAGTTTACTGCAATGGTTAGCCTAGCAATGTCTCACCTGTTATAAACCTAGTGTTGTCTAATTTCTGTTCATTACAGAATCATGTTGCTTACTGTGGCCATTTTATCGCTCTATTCGGTTCACCTTCTGTTAAAGACAGCCAAGGAAGGAGGTATGTTCCTTTAAGTCCACATCTTCGGTCAAAAGACTGACTTCCTAGTTTGAGTCTCATCAAAGCGCTCTCACTTAACACAGCATTCTAAGCTAAGGTGGATTCCAGTCAGGCTCGTGGTTCGTTTTCCTCTGATCTCTACAGTGTGTTCTCCCAAGGTTTGTAGTTAGTGGGGACAAATGAGAATCAAGAATGAAAGTCGAATGGCCCAAGTTCAAGCCAAACAGGGCGAAGAAAAGACTTTTGGCAAATGGCAGGTATAGCTGCTGCTGCTAGGGGCGCACAGCTCAAGTGAACGGAGCCATTGCTTCTGTTTGCAGAGCATTTGACATTGCTCATTGGTTTCTGAGGTCCTGTCCTTTGGCTTTTAGCATTTCTCTAATACAGTTACATGCTTAATATTCCAGTGTAGCGTTATGTAAAGAAATGCTAGAGGCATGAGAATGATCCTCTAACACAGCAATTTCATCTTCCCTTACAGGGTCTTTAATTTATGAAAAGTTAGGGGAAAAGGCATTTGGATGGCCCGGGAAAATTGGAGCCTTTGTCTCTATTACAATGCAGAATCTTGGAGGTAAGTGAGAAGCCTACAACGGGCCGCTTGAACTTTCTGTAGGAAGCGCAATAAAAATGAACGACTACAGCACTTCCGGCAGCGAACAAACAACTACATTCTAGCTTTGAACTCTCCCCATACCCCGGCAGCCCGCTGAACTCACTGGGTTCCTGTGTGTGTGTGAGCCATACTGCAGACCCAGTGGGTGTTTATTATCTGTATGTTTTTAAGTAAGTCTTGTGTAGACATCTGCGGAACTGCTAGGATCGTCTTTGATTGGTTGTTGTTTGTTTTTTACTGGTTTTGTTTTGTTTTTACCGGATTAGGGCCATAAACATCTAAGCTCATTGAGGAATCTGCTCTATGATTAGTTAAAATCTTTTGCTTTCCGGAGATTTAAATCACCAGGCATCTCAAAAGATCACCTCATGCCTGCTCCAGTTGGTGACAACTGAAATAAGAAGCCCCGAGTGTGTTAAGTCCTTAGCACCCAAGCTGGGCAAGGCTGCCGTGGCCATTGAAGGTGCCAGTACAGCCACGTCACACTTCCAGGTGTGGATCAAAGCAGGCTCCATGTCCGGTCAGACACGCGCAACATGGCTGTAAAAGAGATGGAGCTGGCGTGCTCCCACCCCAGCAAACACTCTCCAGTCATCTATTTCGTCGAATCAGCGATTTCCCATAAGGAAAGCCACTGGTGCTTCTTAAATTAGCAGTTCCACGTTTAGAACGCTTTAATTTTTCAACCCCCTAAAACCTTGGCATTCGCCACCGATGTGTTATCACTAGCAGGATGATGTTGACATTACCCAAACAGGCCTGTGGCACCCTGAATTTTCGAAGACCAAACACATTAGCGGTGGTGACATCACCGAGAGTCAGCAGTTAAGAGCTCTAAAATCGAACGGTCCCTAGGTGCGCCAGCTCATCAGAAACACCTCCTGTTTACGCTCTGTAAGATTCTGCTGTGGCCAAGGGCGTTGTAAAGATTAACCAAGCCATGTGGACAGGAGACACAGCAGCTAGCAGAGAAACCGCCTCATTTTGACCATTGGGAAGAGTCAGGGGTCTTGTGCTTTTCATGTAGTCTGCCCTCTGCAATAGTATGATCTTAGATGCGTCACTGAGTTCCTCACAATCCTGATTTCTGCAGGAAAGGGTAGTGACATACACCTGTTCTCTCCAAGACTTTCCAGATGATCTAATGATGGAATCCACAGAGTTCAAGAGAGTCAGATACGATCGGCACCATTCTTTCCTCTGTGGAAGCTTAAGGACTAATTTGAAACTAGTCAGGGTTCAGTGTACCACGTAGATGCCTGTTTATACAACTGCACCAGAAGGATGTAGCTCACACTGAAAGCTGTGTAAGAAAGGTCTTTCCCTGTTGTAGTAGTGTGGGGACTAGAACCCAGATCTCTGTGCGTGCTAGACAATCGTTCTACACCCCTGAACTACAGCCTCAGCCCTGTTGGTTTTATTTTTAATTGCACCCTGGACCATGTGTCAGATAACAAACTAGAATCCAATTGCACCAAATGGTGGCCTTGGAAATGGAGTGTTGCACAAATCCCCCCAGTTGGAGGCAACTTTCTCATGTTTTACATATTATACAGGGAGAGGTTTTATAGATTTTTAAGATGTTTTCAAAATAGTACAGGTGAAATTTGACCCTTTCTGTAATTTTCTTAACCAATGGAAAACTGGAATAAGAGGAGAAACCCCAAATCCATAACAGACAAAAATGGGAGAGAAGCTATTGTCTCTTATACTCTGTTATCAGTCTAGAAGTCTTTCAGTGGCCACGGCTCTGAGATTCTTTGTGTGACTCTGGGACACCACAGAAGCTCGACAGGTGTCACCGGGGGAAAGCCAGAGTGATTGGAGCGCCCAGAGTCCTGCCTTGCAATTCTTCTATCTTGGTTTTGGCCTCTACTTTTTTTGTCAGACAACCCTTAGACCCACACAACACAGGCCATGATGATCTCTAACTAATGAGAGTGAATATGTGGGACCCAAGGTTTCCCTAGCACCCAGAGTTGGATTTAACAAAGAGACAGCATGGACACTGTTAGCAACAGCCCCTCGTGTACGAACTGGGAGGACAAACTTCTGCTTTCCAAGAGAATCTGAAAGCCTCGTGGAGTGTGCAGGGCCTTCGCATTCCATTTTAGGGATAAGATGTTCATCTTTCCAAAGAGAATGGATGTCCCAAGTGCTCTGACGTCTTCCAGCTTATGTGGGATGGCAGTGTGTGCATCACCACTAAGCTGTCCCTTTGTCCATTCCAGCCATGTCAAGCTACCTCTTCATCATTAAATATGAACTGCCTGAAGTTATCAGAGCATTCATGGGACTTGAAGAAAACACTGGGTATGTCTCACATTCCCTCTGCGACACCACGCGGCTCATTCTGCTAGTCTTTTCTGTTCCCAACACCCTCTCTCTTTCTCTTCTAGGGAATGGTACCTCAATGGCAACTACCTCGTCATATTTGTGTCTGTGGGAATTATCCTTCCACTCTCTCTCCTTAAAAATTTAGGTATTAATTCACTAACTGAAAGTATGTTTATCTTTACTTCATATTCTATTAGGCAAGCTTTTTTAGACGCTATAGTCACCTTCCAAAATATTTCTGCTGATCCTAGGTTACCTTGGCTATACCAGTGGATTTTCCCTGACGTGCATGGTGTTTTTTGTCAGCGTGGTAAGTGTTTTGTTGACATGATCCTTGTAGCTTGGAATGCGTGCCATGTTTCATTAGTGTCCTCATGTTTGTCCACGGATTTCACTAGCATGGAATAGTTCTTGCTTCACAAGCAATTTTATTGTATTCTAATTTGGAATGAGAAAGGGACAGTCATGGGTTTAAAAATAGTTGAATTAGAATGCCAAGGTCATAGCACACGGTATGTTCCAGGCAGGCTCCCTGGGCGGAACTTTAGACAAAGGACTATGGCAGTGACCCAGTGTCTAAGAAGGTGGAAATAACAGGCGTGAGTAGGCTGCGGCCACGTCTGTCTGTATTCGCCATTCTCCCTTCCACTTTCTACCCGTTAAGAGACTTTGACCATAGCAGAGTTGAAGAAGTCAACTCAAACAAAGGAGAAATTTCTTGAAATAGCGTAGATGAGAAATTTGCAAATCTTTTTCCCCTCCAAAGACGTAAAGGAAGAGGAAAGAATTATTGATGACTTGTGTCATGAATACTTTGATGTAACGAGGAAACTATCTTTGATGTAATGTCATAGAAGAGTCGGAAAGACCTGGGAAGCCTGGGACTGTTGACTAGAAAGTAGCACTGGCAACCACAGGTCCAACTCTCTCCTTTGAACAGAGGCTAGGACTCTCTATGGTCCAGCAGTCTATGGAGAGCCTGTACCCCTCAAGTCACATAGATGGATTTTTATTTTATTATTTCCCCCTCAAAGCTTGACAATTCTTTTGTTTTTGTTGTTTCAATGTTTAATGACTGGCTATAGGTGATCTACAAAAAATTTGAAATACCCTGCCCTCTGCCTGTCCTGGATCACAATGTTGGAAATCTGACGTTCAACAGCACACTTCCCATGCACGTGATTATGTTACCCAATAACTCAGAGAGCACTGACGTCAACTTCATGATGGATTACACTCACCGAAACCCTGCAGGGCTGGATGAGAACCAGGCCACCGGCCCTCTTCACAGCAGTGGAGTGGAGTACGAAGCCCACAGTGATGACAAGTGTCAACCCAAATACTTCGTTTTCAATTCCCGGGTAAGCGATAGGTCCCTGCCCCCTAATAGGCTGAGCGGTGCTGTGGTCACTGAATTTTATTTCACAAACTGAGAAGCTCTGGAATCACTGTCTACGCTGGGTCTCCAAATATGTATGTTTGTTTGTTTTACAGACCGCCTATGCAATCCCAATCCTAGCATTCGCTTTTGTCTGCCACCCCGAGGTCCTACCCATCTACAGTGAACTTAAAGAGTAAGGCAGCCATCATTTTAGCATTCTCATTTGATTTGTAAATGTGTCCATCTATTCAAAGATGCTTTATGAGGAGGCCCATCCTATGGCTTTCTGAGCAGAGATGGTTTGTGCTACCGCAATTCATTGGTAATGTATTTCAGCCAAGGTTTGAGTGAGCCCACCTGCTTGGCTTTGCTTCCTCTCCTGCCGTTCTAGCATGACAGCTCAGGGAATGATTTCCCACAGTGGGGGAGGAGATGGTGGGTGCATTGTGGATTTTGTTGTTTAGCTGGAAATGACAACACTCGTGATAACAAAAACTTAGAGTCAGGGCAGCCTTGCCGAGCAGCTGATGCTACTTGTGGTCAGTTCCTTGCATGAAAGGTGTTCACCGGCAGAGACAGCCTTGTGTACGCAATGGGGACACGAGCTAGTTCCTACCAGTGCAAGGATCTGTAATTCATTAATAATCATCTCCTTTGAGGCTGCAGACATCGCATTTGGTCTGAACTCATTCTAACCGCTCGGGGGTCAGGCAATGGTTCTTACATCTTTAAACCTGAACAGAGAAGATGCCTTGTGTGTGTGTGTAAACCAGATAAGTTCTGATTTGCTTCCTAAACTTCTGGAACACTTTCGGCTCTTTGGGGTCTTAGATTTACTTTGTGAATCACATACAGTATGGACTCCGTAAGTCTGAAGATTGGGTGGTGAGTGCTCACTATACTGGCTTCTAGAAACTTCCGTGGGACAACATAAATTTTTCTCAGTATTTCAAGCTCTTGGTAGTAGGGATTTGCTGACTCCCTAGGTTGTTTTCTTCAGTAAACTCATCTCAGTATGAAATGGAAAAGCTTTGCCATAGGGGCCGGTTTAATCCTGGCCATTTAACGTAATTAAATTAATTAATTTTCTGTGGACAAGCTTACTCGACATTAAAGAAACTACAGATTAAAGGAACACTGTTTAAGAGAAATGAAAATAAATCTTCCTTAACTCTGTGAGACAAATTTAAACAAGTTGTAAGCTTTATGTCTGAAGTTTGCTTTCATCATTTTTTTTTATTTTAATTTTAAGTTATATTTAAAGAAGTTTTTTAAAGTGATGCTTGGTGTTCGTTTTCTTCCCAGTCGGTCCCGGAGAAAGATGCAGACAGTGTCCAATATTTCCATCACAGGGATGCTCGTCATGTACCTGCTTGCTGCTCTCTTTGGCTACCTAACTTTCTATGGTAGGTCACCCTGTCGCGGCCATTCTCTTTGTGATTAGACTGGTCATTCACCTCGATACATAAAATTGTTTTTCATCCCTTAAGTGGGTGGCATGGTCTATATGTAAATCGTGCATTCTTGATTGACACTCTATTTAGCCTTGCCACTTTCCAAAGGAAATGGGCTCTGGGTCCACCCGGCTAATAGATTCCAGCAACTGGGGAAGTCATGTATGATTTGTTTGTTTGTTTGTTTGTTGTTTAAATCTCTCTGATCCCAGCTAGGATGATGCTCAGTAGATAAAGTATTTCACCTCCAAGCAAGAGGACCCAGGTTTGGATTCCCCGATGCCCAACACAAATCCAACATGGCAGTACCGGCTACAGCGCTAGCGACAGAGACAGGAGGATTCCGGGACTTGTCAGCTAGCTAAGCTAACAACAGCCCTGAGCTGTGAGTCACTGAGAGACCCTGCCTCAAGCATTTAGGGAAGATGCCCAACACCAGCCTCTAGCATCTACATGTGCATGTGTGTGTGTATGTTCATCTTTGTGCATACACTTGGACACACACACATCACAAATCCCTCAAATCAAGTTAATTTCCTTCACGTATAGGTGATATTTCTTTGTCTAGTTTCCCAGACTAGTTTAGGCTAGAAACAATGAAACTGAATCCAACTGTATACAGTAGAACTCTTTTTAAGGAGAAGTGGCTGCCAAGCAAATCACAAAAGCCCATAGTCCTCAAGTTTGAACCTGCTTCTTCTTTAACCAGCCAGTTAAAGCTGGCATCGTAAGCAGGGCGGTGGTAGCGCATGTCTTTAATCCCAGCACTCTGGAGGCAAAGACAGGAGAATTTCTGTGAGTTTGAGGCCAGTCTGGTCTACAGCGTGAGTTCCAGGACCGGCTCCAAAGCTACACAGAGAAACCCTGTCTAGAAAAACAAAAACAACAAAACAAACAAACAAAGCTGGCATTTTAGAGTATTAAGTAAAATGTCTGCTTCATTTTAAAGTTCTGTTAGAGTAATAGCTTCCTAAGAAAAAGGATACAAAAAAATGTTCCTTCAATCTGGGATTATTCTAAATTTGTATGTGCTTATGTATGTATGTATGCATATATGTATAAACGACATGGCAACAGTACACACTACACATTCTGTCCAGCACCTTAACTGTAAACAAAAAATTAATATGATTTTCTCATTCCATGAAGTATAACCCAGGAGAGAAATTATTTCAATCAAATATGTGTGCTATCATATATTTACACAGTCAAAGTGTCAATGCAAATAGGCATTCTTATTATTTATTTATTTATTAAAGATTTCTGTCTCTTCCCCGCCACCGCCTCCCATTTCCCTCCCCCTCCCCCAATCAAGTCCCCCTCCCTCATCAGCCCAAAGAGCAATCAAGGGTTCCCTGCCCTGTGGGAAGTCCAAGGACCACCCACCTCCATCCAGGTCTAGTAAGGTGAGCATCCAAACTGCCTAGGCTCCCACAAAGCCAGTACGTGCAGTAGGATCAAAAACCCCATTTTTAATAGACACCTCCAACTCTTTTTTGAGCTCTGTTAGTGAGTTGTTTATTGCAAGACACACAACACCTTGGAAACCATTTCAGTTATTTTAAAATAGAAAAAGAAATATGCATATAATACACACACATGGAGTTTCAAAAATAGACTGGAAAGTTGTAAGAGTAGCTCTTCCTCCTCCTGGACCTCAACTTCCTCTTTACTGATTTGGTAAACTTGAATTTGGTAAGTTGAATGTGTGGCCGACTGGGGAGGAAATGCCTCAGAGAAGGGCCATCATTTGCTTAGGTGTCTTTCCCATTTGACTAACATTTGACTGGTAACCGAGCACTTGCTCCCAGTTTGGCATTAGCCTCTCACTGATTACAGGTTAGAGAAAGTCAAGATCAACACCACCGAGTGTGTTTCTGCCCCCTGTCTCATCTTGAGAGGGATAGAGGGGAAACCGGGCTACGTATGACTTCATATACATCTATGTGCTACTTGTGTCTTGATTTCATGTGTATCTATGAGCGTTTGTGTCTGGCATTCTGCATGGCCGTCTTCAAAGAAGGCATCAGATAAATCTTAGAATGATTCTGATTGGGAGATCCAATAAAAATCATGCTTTCATTCTCACATGCTTTTCTAATGAATTTCATAAGACGAACAACCCTTGAAATCCTCAAGAAGACCTGAGTTTAGATTGCCAGCACCCATGTAAAAGCTGGGTGTGGAAGCCTGGTGTCAGTAACCCCAGTGCTAGGAACCAAAGAGGCAGATCCCAGGGTCTTGCTGGGTGACAGTCTAGCCGAAATAGCAAGCTCACAGTTCAGTGATAGACCCTGTCTCAAAAAGTAAGGCGAAGAAGTGATTGAGAAAAATGTCTCAACATCAACCTCTGCCCCCCCCCACATGTGCCCACACAAGTGAATGCACATGTGTGTACAAGCACACGCACATACACACAAACACAGAGTTAGAGCGCATCAGTCCTACAGTTCCCACACTAGGTGCAAAGACGCTGCTTCAGAGTTAGCTGGACAGACAGGTTGAGGATAGAGGTGCCGTGGGCGGGACAAGCTAGTACAGCTTAGGCTTTTTCCTTTTTTTTTTTAATCCGAGCATGTCGTCCTGGTTTGTGATGCTCTCTGCAGCAGACAGATTTATTGTGGACCAAATCACATCAAGAAGCTTAGCAGCCTTTCATGTAGTAGCTTTACAAGCTACAGAACCGCCTGAATCCCTAGGCCTGGCCTCCTCCACTGTCCTGTTTTTCCGTTACCCTGCGTGTTTCTGTGAGTAGCTGGTGCTGACTCAGCAACTCCCCCAACACTTCTTCTTGCAGGGGAAGTTGAAGATGAATTACTCCATGCTTACAGCAGAGTCTACACATTTGACACCCCTCTGATCATGGTACGCGTGGCCGTCCTGGTGGCAGTGACGCTAACTGTGCCCATTGTCCTCTTCCCAGTAAGTACACTGAGTCCTGAAGGATGAGTCCGTTGTTCTGACTCGCTGTGGATTTGGGTGTCTGTGTGTCTGCGGTCATGGGTCCCAGCCGATTTATTATTTTCTCATAGAATTTTGGAGCCACTTAAAGTTGAGCACTTAGTAGATAGACACAGTCAGTCATTTTAGGTAGTGTTTTTAAAGTATGAAAAAAACCATGAACCTTATTTTTAAATTCAAATGAAGAGCAAACAGAGCCTGGGCTGCCACCTATAGACTAATATAATATAATGTAACTTTTTCTGCCTCTGGAAATGTGAATGCCAGCGCCACTTAAGCTAAGACCACATTGCATCTTGCCAGCATCTTGAGGTGTTTCCATTTGTTCCTCAGAGTGTGCCAAGATCACATCCAAAGCTCGGGTTATTGAATCTGATGTCTTGGTGGCAAACAGGACATGGTACATCATTAGGTAAATGATATACCAGAAGGGAGTTTTTTTGATCTCTCCCACCAAAACTGACACATGCCTTCTGGCATTTGAGATTCCTGCTCCTTGGCACTAGTCAGGGTTCCGGTTTGTCATGGACTCACCACAGCAAGCAAGTGGGGTGTGTGAGGACTGCGTGGCAAGAATTAAAACGCCACCCGTGGACAAACACAGGTTCTCCTGCCTGCCGACTGTGCCCCTTTCATAAACACTCCATTCACTCGTTCATTTTAGGGGGGTAAACTAAGTAACCCGGAAACCAGCTTTGCTACATACAAAACGTTCCGTACAAGACTCAGCATAAGAGAGCAACTTAGATAATGTGCTGTGGTCACTTTAAGAACTGCTCGCGTGGTGACGTGTACTTTGCCACATTCCTTCCTCATGAGTGCATGAAATCAAATCCTTGTCGCTATCACAGCTAATACTTTACTCTGAAATAATGCCTGGCCTCTATTCTATCTAAGAGCATTCTGAACGTCGTGCCTGGAGCTTTAGCCTAAAGTGAGCTCTGACTGGAGCGGGATGTTCTGTAGGACGGCATTTCCGGTTATGCCGGGAAAAGCACATCCAGGGTCCTTGTGAGTTTTGGCATACCAGAAACATTTGCACTGTCGATTAATGGTTTTATGCAAGGAATCTGTTACCATCTTTCACTTTGCTTTACTCGCAAGCCCTTGATAAGGAAGGATTTCCCTAGCCGCAGTCTTGAGAGCCTGAAGGGCGTGGCGGTGCTCACACAGCTAGTGGATAACTGTTAAGCTAAGGCAAGGCTCGTTGCCAGAATGGGAAGTAAAAGCCAGTCTTGACAAGTATTATATCTCACCATTGGCAATCCAACACTCTCTTAGAAATTCTAATCCTGTGTAAGAGTGAATGCCCTGGGCTGAGTCTGATATCAGGAACTGTAGTAGTTTGTCAGTGCTAGAGGCCATTAAAATTGAAATTGGCCATAAGAACCAACATCCAGGAAAAGGACCAATGTCTGCCATTTTCTGGGCATGGCTTGGCCTTTCACTGCCACAGTTACAGGGAAATGTTAACAGTGGTCACAGACAGAATAGTGGCCAGCAGAGTGGGCAGGCCGGCAGGGAGGGTCAACAATGCTGAACATGAAAAATGGTCTTCGGCTGAATCTTGCCTTTTCTGAAATGCATGAACCACCTTTTCTAGTTTATTCTGTGCCTTGAATCCATGGGAATGAGGGTCTCGGCAAGGGAATAAAATGGTCACAAGTGTGATAAAGTGGCGACCTCCATGTCCCAGTCAAGTTCTAAGAGGCCAAATTCTGATGGGCTTCTGATAAAGCGGTCGATACTGTGAATAGTGTTTTTATTTGTTTCATGTCACTTGGGGCCAGGATTTCAGTGAACCAAACGCAGGGCATGGCTCTCCTACCTACACTGTGTGGCTTCACCTGGAGGGTGTGGGTCTCCTGCATGGCGCAGCTCACCCAGAAGGCACGGCTCACCTGGAGGGCGTAGCTCTCCCAACAGCTTTCTTTGCATTCAGAAACACTTGGCACCCCTCCCCGCAAGAAACTTCTTTATCTGCCATGGTATCCTCCCAAACAAGCGACAAAGCAAACCTAGTCTGGGTTCAAATCTAGCATTTTAGCTACTGTTTCGCGTCCTTTCTCTTACGAAACTAGGTCCCCTGGCTCTTTCTTAGATGAGAGGATAAGTGTCGCCTGCTCAGATTCCCTTATCCTCTTTTTCATCTCAGCACAAGCGTGCAGGAGCCACCTGTGATGTTTATCTCTGATGCCTGTTGGACAGATGCAGACGCGAAGTGAATGAAGGCTAAATCTCTATTAGTAGCTTCGTGCGGAGCTCCTTGGGTGTGGGATAGGCAGTCCACTGTGGGATGCACCTCCTTCCAGAGGATGGATGATGACATTTGCAACTGTGCTTCCCTTCCTACGGCAAGGTTCACGTGTCACCACAAGGGACAGAAAAGCAAGTAGCCTTTATTGTTTAGCCTAAGTGGACAGGCTCATGCCCTACTGGAGTATGTTCAGAAGGTCATCTTTCAGACTTTCCGGCACTTGCTGTTCATCTTCCTACAGAACAATCATCCCTTTTGCATGTCCTGCCTCCAGGTCTCTGAAGTGTGCACAGACAATGGTACAGAAATATGGTTGGCACTGTCAGGAACTGCAGTGAGGTTGGTACTCTCGAGATACGATCCCCAAGCCATCCTGTACCATGAAGAAGGCGTCATTTCTACTCAGTGGGAGAATCTGTGTTTATGGAGAGGCAAATCAAGGCTGTTCCTTTCTTCTTGACTTCCATATCTGTGATCTTCACTCTGGCACCCTACATTAGCACAGAGCGCCTCCTAACAGACTGTGCTCCGGAAACTCTGCAGGAACAATTAGCATTCTACCCAGAAAGTGCGTGGAAACTTCCTCGTGTCATTCTGTGTCAGGCGCCCTGACTGGTGCTGGGGACTTCCCGGACTTGCAGCATCTGACCCACATTTTCATATCCTTATCAGTTTGCATCAGTAGATAAAGGGGCACATGGGTAAGGGCATGTGAGTAATAAGGTTGAGCTGCCTCCGTTGTCCTGGTCTGGGTAAACAGAGCTGCCCCAGCCCTTTGGATCCACTCTCTCATAACAATGGTGCTGTAACAGGGAATGACCAGTTTTCTTCTAACCCTTTCCAAGGCTCCTTTCCTCTGCCTCCTTGGCACTATTGCCCTCTTCAGGGGGCTGTTGACATTCCATGTTCCCTCAGTCCTGTACTCACCGTGAGAACAAAGCTTTTGCCGTTCACCCCAACCATTTTGTGTCTTCTCGTTTCAGTAGGCCAAACCTTCATTTACCACATGACCTTAGGAAACTGTGTTTGTTCTCAGAGGCCCTGAGCATACAGGATTGCCCTTGACTTGGCCTTTTGTTTGCTTGTTTTAACCTGAATGCTTTCGTTTTAACAGAAACAATATAAATGCGTGTGTGTGTGTGTGTGTGTGTGTGTGTGTGTAGCATCTTCATAAAACACAAATCTGCATTCAGCCTGCTTTTTTGTAAGTTTCCCAGTCAATCATACTGAACAACACACACCCCTATAGAAAACTCACTGTAGGTTCACTAACCCTGCCTCTGTGAACAATATTGGACATTGTTCACAGGTCATAATGTCCCAGTTACTGGGGAAAGTGGCATCAAACTGCTGGCCTTCCTTGAAGTGCTTTTCACGGTGAGCTTCTTTCTCACTAATTTTTAAAATCTCTCCCAAAGTCACTCCTAAACCATTTGTGAGCCCGTGTGTGCAGTTTGCCACTCTAGAAATGAATTCCCTTTGACCTACACAGATGGCTCCCATTATCCACGGCTGGTATGAAAGGAATGCCACAGGAGAAACTGCGGGCGATTTAGCTTGCATTTTTCCGGGCTGTCCATACATGTTTCAAGATGGAGCTCACAGTTGCTGCTTCTGCAATGAGTTCCTGTCTCCGCGCCATTATGAGGTCTCGAGACTGGAATTTTTTGGTGGAAATAGATCCCATCACTTCTGAACATGGGAAGCCCTAGCTGAACTCAAGGGCTTACTCACTGAGAGACAAACAGAGTACCCCAACTAAGTCCAAAGAGTGTCCTCAGAATTGATCCCAAAGATGAGCATGTCTCTGTGTTGGGCTGTCCAAACCCAAAAGCTCTCAGTCCCTCTCCCGCAGCGACCTCTTTGTCTGGTGACACCATAGTTCCTTGAGCTCTGCCGCCAGCGGAGCCTCTCTCCAGCTTGGCGCACTGACTTCAGCTGCTGAAATGAGGACTGGAATCTGCAGGGGACCCCGAAGGGAGTGGAAGGATTCCTGCTGTCAGTTTAATTCAGCGTTTCCTGAATGCCTGCTATGGGGAAATGACTGAGCAGGACCTCTGTGGAATGCTGGGGTTATTGAGTCCCACTGTATGCCTTTTGTGGGGCTGTAATCTATTAATGTGAGGGGAGGAGGAAGAAGGAGGAAACAAAAAAAAGCATCACTTTTTTTTTTCAAAATACCAGTGGAAAATGTCAAATAAAATGGAAAATTAAGAAAAAGCCAGGTTTGCAGAATTTGCTTTATAGTCCGTGCTATGCCATCTCAGTGTCTATGTCCGATGCCTAGGCTGGTCTAATGAGAGTAAGACACGGTTAGCTAGCAGCAAGCCTTCACTGCCCCAAGTTGCACGGAGCTGTTACTTCATCTCTTCGGCCCAAGATTACTTTTGAACAAAGAGTTCTAAGATCCAAGAAAATGGACACTTGGTATGCAGCCAAGGAAAGATATCACTTCAGACATGACAGATCAGTGTGAAGTTGACATACAACACAAATGGACCTAATTCTGTGGAACTGTATGAACTTAAAGCAGTTAGGATGGCAAATGCTCCTTTGTGTGTTTCAACATAAGGAAAATGTGAGAAAAAGCATCAAGATGTATCTTTTTGGTGGTGGGGTGGGAGGGGTAAAACAAAATGCTTTAGATTAGAATACTTATAGTCATAGCGAAAATTAAAACAGCCCAGCGGTGGTGGCACACACCTTTAATCCCAGCACTCGGGAGCAGAGGCAGGCGGATCTTTGTGAGTTCAAGGCCAGCCTGGTCTACAGTATGAGTTCCAGGACAGTCAAACCTACACAAAGAAACACTGTTTTGAAAAAAACAAAACAAAAAAGTGAAAGAAGTGATCAGGTCTGTTCTGTCAACATCCTCATTGCAGATCCGGACCTCCGTGATCACACTGCTGTTCCCCAGAAGACCCTTCAGTTGGGTAAAGCACTTCCTGATCGCCGCAGTGATCATTGCGCTCAACAAAGTCCTTGTCATCCTCGTGCCCACCATCAAATACATCTTTGGATTCATAGGTAAGTTTCAGAAGAGCTTTTGTTTGATCAGTTCCAAAGTATGCCTCTTTAAATGACAATATGAAAACAGTGCTATGCGGACAGGGCTCCTGTCCCTGTCTGGCTAAAAGGAATTTCATGAGCCCCTGCTGGGCTCAGTGACCACACTGGCTGTGTTCTATGTTAGCAGTCACCTATAGCCATTTTGTTCAAGTGCCCTTTCAAGAGATAAACTGAGCCTCAAAGAAATCAAATCACATAACTTTTGGTGGACAGAGGATTTGGGCATGGCCATAGCTCTGTCTTCAGGAGAAAAGTAAGGGCTGACTACCATATGTTGTAATAGGAGAAGTGGGGCTGCATCCCCAGTACCCCGGCTGCCTGGCTAGCTTATGCCCTGAAATAACAACACACAAATTGTATTCTTTTAAACACTGCTTGGCCCATTATATCTATCCTCTTCTAGGCTAACTCTCACACCTGGACTAGCCCATTTCTAATAATCTGTGTAGCATCAGTCTTACCGGGAAAGATTCTAGCCTATGTCCATCCTGGGTCGGAGCTTCATCGCATGTGCCTCAGAGAGCAGAGCTATCACATCTGCTCAGGAGAGGGGAGCATGGTGTCTCTGCTCTCACTTCCTCTTCCTCCCAGCATTCTGTTCTGTTTACTCCACCCACCTATGTTCTAACCTATCAGGGCAAGCAGTTTCTTTATTTAATTAACCAATGACCTTCCTCCATCAACCATATACTCACTCAAGGCTGTAAGTGCCAGCTGGGGTACTCAGGGTGTCTTTAGAGGAACTGGAGGCTGATAGCCCTAAACATCTCATTCCCTTTAACCGCATGATTTGTTGGTGCTTTTGATTTCTCAGTCCAGGCTAAGGGTTTACTAGATTTTTAGGGCAGAATGGCATTTTACCTTTTTTTTTTTTTTTTTTTTTTTTTTTTTTTTTTTT